CACCCCCCTGAGGTCCCAGCCCTATAGGCACAGCAAGGCATGCTCAGGCACTGTGAGAGCCCCGCCCTGGGCACCTCACACGCAACCATGTCCCCCGTCCGGATCCCCACCCTGCAGCAAGGCAAAACCCGTCCCGAGTACCCCAGACTCGACCACCACTCGCCTGGGTCCCAAGTCCCTGCAGGAATGCAGAGACCCCACCCTGGCCACCCCTAATGGGACCCGCCTCCTACCCGGGTCCCCACACCTGTAGGCAGGCGAAGGCCCCACCGTGGGCACCCAGACGCAACCCCGCCCCGTTCCCAGGACCCCAGCCCCTACAGGCTTGGCCAGGACTCTCAGGTACAACGAGGGCCCCACGCTGGGCATTCCAGATGCTACTTCCCCCCTGCCCGGATCTCCAGCCCCTGCAGGCATGCGAGAGCCCCTCCCTGGGCCCCCCAGACACTCGCTACCTCCCCCGCCCGAGTGCCATGCCCCTGCAGGAATGGCAACAGCCCCACCTTGGCCACGACAGATGGGACCCCACCTCCTATCCGGGTCCTAACCCCTACAGGCAGGCTGAAAGCCCAATACTGGTCACCCCAGACGCTACCTCCCCACCACCCGGGTCCCAAGCCCCTGAAACAATGGCGAGAACACCACCCTGGCCACCCTAGACGGGACCCCGCTTCCTACCCAGGTCCCCAGGCCCTACAGGCATGTGAGGGACCCTCAGGCACAGCGAGGGATGCGCCCTGGGCATTCCAGACATGACCACGCCCCCCCACCCAGATCCCCAGCCCGTGCAGGCACAGCAAGAGCCCTCCTTGGGCACCCCAGATGGGTCCCCGCCCCCCCCCCTCAGGTCCCTAGCCCCTAAGGCACAGCTTGGGCCCCGCACCTCAGACGTGACCCCGCCGGGATCCACAGCCCCTGCAGGCACTGTGAGAGCCCTCCCTGGGCACCCCATATGGAACCCGCCCCGTGCCCAGGTCCCTGCACCTACAAGCATGGCGAGGAACCCCAGGCATCATGAGGGATCCGCCCTGGGCACCCCAGACCTGACCCAGCCCCCTGCCTGGGTCCCTAGCCCCTGCAGTCATGGCGAGGGCCCCATCCTGAGCACCCCAGACATGACCCCACCCGAGGTCCAAGGTCCCGCAGACGCGGCTAGTGCCCGCCCTGTGCACCCCAAATGTGATCTAACCCCCCACCCTGATACCAAGCCCCTGTAGGCATGGCAAGGGCCCCGCCCTGGGCAACCAAAATGCAACCCTTCCCCACCAACCATGTTCCCAGCCACTGCAGGAACAGGGAGGGCCCCGCAGGCCCGGCAAGGGCCCCACCCTGGGAACCCAAGATGTGACCCTGCCCTGCCTTTTTCCCCAGCCCCTTCAGGCACAGCGAGGGATCCTTCCTGGGCACCCCAGATGCGACCCCGCCTCCCGCCAGGGTCCCCAGCACTGCAGGCAAGGCAAGAGTCCTGCAGGAACAGCGAGGGTTCCACCCTGGGCACCCCAGACACGACCCCCATCCCGCCCGGGTCCCCAGCCCCTGAAGGCAGGGTGAGGGTCCTGTCCTGGGCACCCCAGATGTGACCCCATTCCCAGACCGGGTCCCTAGCCCCTGCAGACATGGCGAGGACCCTGCCCTGGGCACCCCAGACACGACCCCGCACCCCCCCGCCTGGGGCCCAAGGCAAGAAGGCGCAGCGAGGGCTCCGCGCTGGGCATACACCCCAGACAAGACCCGGCCCCATGCCTGGGTCCCCAGCCCTTATAAGCATGGCAAGGGCCTCATCCTGGGCAGTCCTACGGGACCCTGCCCCCCACCTAGGTCCCCATTCCCTGCATGAACTGCGTTGGCCCAGCAGGCACAGCGAGGGCAGGTTTGATAAGAGCCCTGCCCTGGCCACCCAGGAGCAACCCCGCCCCCCTCCAGGGCCCTAGGCCCCGAAGTTGCGGCAAAGTCCCAGCCCTGGGCACCCAAATGTGATCCTGCCCCGCCTGCCCGGGTCCCCAGCCCTTGCAGGCAGGGTGAGGGCCCCTCCCTGGGCACCCCAGTCGAGACCCTGCCACCTGCCCGGGGCCCCAGCCACACAGACCCAGTGAGGGCCCTGCCCTGGGCACCCAAGATGTGACCCTGCCCCATCTGCCCATTTCCCCAGGCCCTGCAGGCACAGCGAGGACCCACCCTGGGCACCCCAGATGGACCCCACACCCTGCTCGGGTCCCAGCCCTGGCGTCCTGGGCACCTCAGATGTGACCGCTGCCCCTACTCCGGGGCCCCATGCCCTGAAGGCACTGCGAGGGCCCTGCCCTGGGCACCCCCAGATGCTACCTTGTCCCCCACCCTGGTCCCAAGCCCCTGCAGGCTCGGTGAGACCCCACCCTGGGCACCCCTGATGCAACCCCGCCCCTGCCTAGGTCCCCAGTCCCGGCAGGAATTGCGAGGGCCCCGCAGGCACAGCAAGGGCAGGCACGGCCAGAACCCTGCTCTGGGCACCCCAGACGCGACCCCTTCCCCTGGCTTGTCTGGGTCCCCAGCCCCTGCAGGCACAGCAAGGGCCCCGCATGCACATCGAGGGCAGGTGTGTCAAGAGCCCCGCCCTGGGTACCCCAGGTGCAACCCCTCCGCCCTTCACCCTGGGCCCCAGGCCCCGCAGTTGCGGTGAGGACCCCGCTCTGGGCACCCCAGGCACCGCCCCCGCCCGGGTCCCAAGCCCCTGCAGGCATGGCAAGGGCAGTGCCCTGGGCAACCAAGACACGACACCGTGCCCCTCCAGGCTCCCAAGCCCCTTTAGGCCCTTTAGGCCCATCCTGGGCACCTAAGATGCGACCCTGCCTCACCCACCATTTCCCCAGCCACTGCAGGCACAGCAAGGGACCCGCCTGGGCACACCAGATGCTACCCAGCCCCCTGCCTGGGTCACCAGCCCCTGCAGGCATGTGGCCCCGTCTTGGGCACCGCAGAGGTGACCCTACCCAGGGCCCAAGGCCCCCAGACATGGCTAGGGCCCCACCCTGTGTACCCCAGACACAATCCTGCCCCCTGCTCTGATCCCAAACCCCTGCAGGCATGGCGAGGGCCGCACCCTGGGCACTCCAGATGCGACCCCACACCCTGCCCAGCTCCCCAGCCCCTGCATGCCCAGCAAGGGCCCCTCCATGGGCACCCAAGACGTGTCCCTGCCCTGCCCACCGTGTCCCCAGCCACTGCAGGCACAGTGAATGCCCCGCAGGCCCAGCAAGGGCCCTGCCCTGGGAACCCAAGATACAAACCTGCCCCGCCTGGGTCCCAGCCCCTGAAGGCATGGTGAGGGCCCTGTTCTGGGCACCCCAGATGCAACCCCACCACCTGCCCGGGCCCAGCCCCACAGACCCGGTGAGGGCACCCAAAACGTGACCCTGCCCCGCCCACCCATTTCCCCAGCCCCTGCAGGCACAGCGAGGGACCCACCCTGGGCACCCCAGATGCGGCCCCACACCCTGCCCGGGTCCCCAGCCCCTGCAGGCTTGGCGAGGGCATCATCCTGGGCACCCCAGACGTGATTGCTGCCCCCCTCGCGGGGCCCCATGCCCTGCAGGCACTGTGAGGGTCCCGTCCTGGGCACCAGATGCGACCCTGCCCCCTGCCCAGGTCCCAAGCCCCTGCAGGCACAGCAAGGGCTTGGCCCTGGGCACCCCAAATGCACCCCTGCCCGCCAGCCCAGGTCCCCAGCACGGGGACGGCCCAGCCCTGGGCACCGCAGATGCGACCCCTCCCCCCACCTGGTTCTCCAGACCCTGCAAGAATTGCGAGGGCCCCTCAAGCACAGCGAGGGCAGGCCTGGCAAGAGCCCTGCACTGGGCACACCAGGCGCCCCCGCCCCTCCCCCCTGGGTCCAAAGCCTCTGCAGGCATGGGAAGGAACCCACCCTGGGCACCCCAGACATGATCCCGCCCCCCACCTAGGTCCCCAGCCCCTGCAGTTACTGCGAGGGCCCCGCAGACACAGCGAAGGCATTCTAAGCAAGAGCCCTGCCCTGGGCATCTCAGGCACTACAAGGCCCTTCCTCCACCTGGGTCCCCAGCCTTTGCAGTCATGGCGAGGGCCCCGCCCTAGGCACTCCAGACGCCCCCCACCAGCCGGATTCTCAGCCCCTGCAGGCATGGCGATGGCCCTGTCCTGGGCACTCAAGATGTGACCCTGCCCCCTGCCCAGGCCCGGCAGGCACAGCGATGGCCATGCAGGCACAGCCAGGGCCCTGCCCTGGGCACCCCAGACATGACTCCCCTGGCCAGGTTCTCTGCCCCTGCAGGGTTCCTAAACCCTGCAGGCACAGTGAGGGCACTGTCCTGGGCACCTCAGATGCGACCCCGCCCACAGCCCTTGTCCCCAGTCCCTGCAAGCACAGGGAGGGCCCTGCCCTGAGCACCCCGGATGTGACAATGCCCACCACCCGGATCCCCAGCCCCTGAAGGCATGGTGATGGCCCTGACCTGGGCACCCCAGACACAACTCCCCCCTCCCTGGGTCCCAAGCCCCTGCAGGCACAGCAAGAGCCCCGCCCTGGGCACCCCAGACACGACCCCGCCCCCTACCTGGGTCCCCAGCCCCTGCAGGCAGCAAGAGCCCCATGGGCACCCTAGACGCAACTCCGCTCCCCCATGCCCGGGGCCCCAGGCCCCACAGGGCCTGTGAGTGCCCTGCACTGGGCAACCCAGACGCGACCCCACTCCCTGCCCGGGGCCCCAGCACTGCAGGCAAAGCGAGGGCCCTGCAGGCACAGGGCCCTGCCCTCGGCACCCCAGACCCGACCCGGCCCCCAGCACCCCAGACACAACCTGGCCCCCTGCCCGGGTCCCCAGCCCCTGCATGCAGGGCGAAGGCCCTGTCCTGTGTACCTCAGACATGACCCCAGCATCCCATATGGGCACCGGGTTCTAGCACCGTTTGCTCCTCTTCCAGTCCAGCTCTCTGCTGTGACCTGGGAGGGCAGTGGAGGATGGCCCAAGTGCTTGGGCCCCTGCACTCACCCATGTGAAAGACCAGGAAGAAGCACCTGGCTCCTGGCTTCAGATCAGTGCAGCGCCGGTCATGGCGGCCATTTGGGGAGTGAATCAGCGGAAGGAAGACCTTTCTCTCTGTCTCTCTCTCTCTCACTTTCTATAACTCTACCTGTCAAATAAATAAAAAAAAAACAGTAAAGTAAATCTTTAAAAAATAAAAGAAGAATGTGGAAAGAATTGAACTCAGGTAAGAAATCATACCATCACTAGCTTAGTGTTTTTTAAAAAAGAAATGTCCATGTGTAGTAATTATTCTCTGCACGGAGTGCTATCATTTCAAAGATATGAGCAAATATAGAATGAGATTCAACTAATAAATAAGTACTTTCTATAAATTATGTTAAAATATAGAATATTACAGTGTTTCAAATGAAGAAATTTTTTACAAAAATTCTCATGTATGTGTCAAAATACCATGTAACATATTTATTCACATGTGCAGTGCAGATTTGTGTTTTAGGCAAAATATTATCAATTTAAAAAATTTAATATAGAAAGGCTTAATGCAGGAAAATAACAAAAATTCTTAAAATGGCAAATCAGCTTGGAAGGAACAAGTTAGAACTTCCAGATATGAGAGTGAATCCAGAAAATGAGCCAGCGAAGCAGTCAACCAAGAAGCCAATGCCCCATCCAGATAAGGGTGACAAAAAGATATCAAACCCATGTGCCTTGTACAACACTGCCACAGGTAAGTGAAATAACAATAGAAATGAAGCGACTGAAAATCTCAGTTTTGACATACCATGCATCAGAAATACATATATATAGGCCGGCGCCGCGGCTCAATAGGCTAATCTCCTACCGCCTAGCGGCGCCGGAACACGGGTTCTAGTCCGTCAGGGCGCCGGATTCTGTCCCGGTTGCCCCTCTTCCAGGCCAGCCCTCTGCTGTGGCCAGGGAGTGCAGTGGAGGATGGCCCAGGTGCTTGGGCCCTGACCCCATGGGAGACCAGGAAAAGCACCTGGCTCCTGGCTCCTGCCATCGGTCAGCCGGTGCGCCGGCCGCAGCGCGCCGGCCGCGGCGGCCATTGGAGGGTGAACCAACGGCAAAGGAAGACCTTTCTCTCGTCTCTCTCTCTCTCACTGTCCACTCTGCCTGTCAAAAAAAAAAAAAAAAAGAAATACAATATATATATATACTATATATATGTATGTATTATTAGTTTTCATTCAGAAAATAAGGTACTAGAATTTGGGCCTTAAAAGTTTCCTTTCACATAACTCTACATATAGGAGTTATCCTTAAAATATTTAAGTCAATACAGTGAGAAATAGGAAACCAAAATAATGTGGAAAGAACAAGTTGCAAGATTGTAAGCTATATAGAAAAGTATTGATGAGAAAGTGAAGAGTGAAAATATTATGAATAAAGTAAATATAAAACATGGGTGAGAACTGCACAGGGATGGTAAGAGGGCTGGTGAGCAAGCATATGAGAACAATGAATCCGGTTAAATACAGTGCTGGGATACAAAGCCATACCAAATAAGTGCACAGTTACAAAAACATGAAGGTTAGCAAGAAGAGGATTGAAATATCCAATTGTTTCCTAGAATATTAGAAAAACACACAAAGGCAATTATCAAACCAGGATGATTTAAAAGACTCTATGCTTACAAACTCTTGAGTTACAAATGCAGTGTGTCAAAAAGACACAAAAGTATACATAATCACACTTCATAACATCAGGGGAGAAAAAAATTAGAAACAGTAAGAGAAAAACAGATCATTCACAGAGGTGACTAAAATAGTCCTTTTAACAACTTGTATGGTGCTGTAAAACAGACATAAAATCATGCCCAAAGCAATTATCTGAGCTAGAGTTGGATCCTTAGGTAAAATCTAGTTAATGGACCAAGATGAATAAAACACAATAAAAATAAACAGAGATTTGATTACCAACAGGAGCTTTCTAAACCTACATGTCAAGAATAAATGTTTTTCTACAGTAAAGAAAATGAAATAAGATGATACATGATATGCATCAAACTATGATTTACAATGAAGTAAAGAATTATCAAATAATTGCACTTTATTTTAATCTGATAAATTATCATTTTGCTCTTAAAACTGTATATATGGGCCGGCGCCACGGCTCACTAGGCTAATCCTCCGCCTAGCGGCGCCGGCACACCGGGTTCTAGTCCCGGTTGGGGCGCCGGATTCTGTCCCGGTTGCCCCTCTTCCAGGCCAGCCCTCTGCTGTGGCCAGGGAGTGCAGTGGAGGATGGCCCAACTACTTGGGCCCTGCACCCCATGGGAGACCAGGATAAGTACCTGGCTCCTGGCTCCTGCCATCGGATCAGCGCGGTGCCGGCCGCAGCGTGCCGGCCGCGGGGCCACTGAGGGTGAACCAACGGCAAAGGAAGACCTTTCTCTCTGTCTCTCTCACTGTCCACTCTGCCTGTCAAAAAAAAAAAACCTGTATATATGAAAAAATGAAATGTTCCTCTTACAGAAATTAAAAAAATTTTATGCTACTGAATAATTTAACTGCATTAAAATATATTTTCAAGAAAAATATCCCATCACAATATTAGTAAACATTAATGGCTCTTACATTGTGTGCTTTTCAGAATACTGATTATTCTTTTATCAGAACTGAGCAGCACCACAGGACTAACTGTAGCATAAGCATTAAATACTAAGTTCCAGATACTCAGACTTTGTTGTATGTCCACCACACATGGACTGAGATGGACAGGATGATGAGGTTAAGGTGGTAGGTGACCACAAAGGCACTCACCAGCATTCATTCTCCCCCCTTCCTCTCTCCTCCAGCCTCCTCTTGACACCCACTCTTCTCCACCTTCTATCTCAGCTACCCCTCACACACATGCTCCCCACTCACTGTCCCCCGGGCCCCTCCTACCCAGTGACAGGAAGGCCACCACGCCAAACTCTCCACAGAAAGAGCCTTTCTGTTCCTCTGACACAGGAATCCAGACCTGAGGTGTAGTCTTTCAGAGGGGCCAAAGAAGAGGACTGTGCCTAGAAAGTTCCAGAAGCACAAGATAACTGAGTGGCTACCTCACCACAGTTTCACCTAATCCTGGCTTGACCCTGGGGGTGGGGGGTGGGGGAGAGGCACTGTATCTCCTCAGGCTCAGCCACCAGCATCGAAATCAGCAACTCAGGGCTTGCACAAGCTCTGAGCTGGGGCAGACATGACGCTGACTCCCACTGGAGCACCGTGCAGAAGAAACAGATGCACCTGCGGGTGCACTTCCGGGTCACAGTGCTGGGCACAGGCACACTCCTCACCGGTGACCAACAGGGCACCAAGGGATGCAGCTATGCCCTGATGCCCCAGGACCACTTCCATTCCTGCCTCATCAGGCTGTGACCCAGGGAGGCAGCCACTGAAGGCCCAGGCACTCTGGACCCAGCACCCTGTCTAGTGGGAGTCCTGAATGGAGCTCCTGCCTCCTGGTTTCTGCCTGGACCAGCGCTGGCCCTTGCTGCTGCTTGGGGAGAGCAGCAGTGCAAGCAGCATCATGAGCACTCTTTCTCACTCTGAGTGATCATCCATCTGGGGGTTACCCCCCAGGTGGCTACAAAGGCCAGGGCTGGCCAGGCCAAAGCAGAAGTGAGGGACTTTATCCGGTGCCCAATTCTGGGTTCAGGGTCCTAAGACCTTGGGCCTTCTCCCTCTGCTTTCCCAGCAATGTTAGACAGCAGCATTCCATGGGCAATGGCTTCCGGAGGACCTGGCATTGTGGGGTAGTGGCTATAGCCACCACCCACAGCACATCCCATCTAGGTGCCAGTTCAAGTCCTGGATGCTGCACTTCTGATGTGGCTCTCTGCTGTGGTTTGGGAAGGCAGTAGAAGATGGCCCAACTCCTTGTGCCCTTGTACCCATGAAGGAGACCACGGGGAGGTTCTGGGCTCCTGCTTTTAGATCTCCTCTGCTCTGGCCAATGCAGCCGAATAGGAAGTGGAACAGCAGATGGAAAACCTATGTATCTGTCTCTCTCTCTCGCTCGCTCTCTCTGCCTCCCATCCTCTCTGTGTATATGTCTGAATTTCAAATAAATAAATATTTAAGAAAAAGTAAAAATTAAAAAAGGAAGACATATTTGTAAATAAAATACAGGCCAACTACTAGAGTTTATTTACAAACTGATACTATAGGTATTGCATACCAAATAGACACAGAATTTGAAAAACAATTTAAATCAGGCTTAGAAAAGATTCTAGTACCAATTCATTCTCTTCTTCCTTACAAACATTCTGTTGGCATTATCTCTGACTTAAGCATGAGGAAATCTTTGTAATTTATTTATTCAGACACTTATGTACCCACTCACACAAGGACTTGAAACATCTGTGATCTACAGAGTTCTCCATGGAACACAGGTCTACTTCCCAGACACCACCCTGCACAGTCTAGCCCTGCATTTAAAGTACGGATCATGTTGGAAACAGGCCAAATCACATGTCCCACAAAGCAAGAGAGAACACAGAAAGGTAGCATCTGAGGTCACTATTGACATTTTCTACATGCACACGATCATGTTGGTACTTCTTCTCTAATTTCTCATTGTAGATACAAATTGGGAGGGAGGAAGTCCAACTATCCGTATTTGCAGATGACACAATTCTATATTAGGAGATCCAAAAGACTCCACTAAGAGACTATTGAAATTCAGAGTAGAGTTAGGTAATGAGCCAGGATAAAAAATCAAGTCTTTGTATACACAGACAATGTTATGGCTGAGAAAGGAATTCTAAGATCAAGCCCATTCACATAGCTACAAAGAAAATAAAAAGCTTGGAATAATTTAACCAAGGATGTTCAACATCTGGGAATCACAAAAGATTAAAGAGAGAGATACAAGAGGACACCAAAAAAAAAAAAATGGAGAAGCTTCTGCCCTGCAAAAGAAAACACTCAGCCAAGTAAAGAGGCAACTAACGGAATGGGAGAAATTATATGCAAAGTATGCAACTGATAAAGGATAAACTAAACCACAAGAAACTTTCAAAAAATTCAACTACAGCAAAACAAACCACCCACTCAGGAAATGGGCAAGGGGCTTCCACAGGCATATTTCAAGAAAGGAAATCTAGGAGAAACAGTGACTTGATCAGCTCTTGTCCTGACTGTTGACGTACAATGTAATACTTTATCCATTTTAGTATTTTTTTTTTGTTGTTCTAGTACTATTGGTTGAACACTGTAATTAACACACAATTATTCTTAGGTGTTTAAATTTTAACTGAAAAGTGATCCCTGTTAAATATAAGAGTAGGAATGAGAGAGGGAGGAGATGTACAATTTGGGACATGCTCAAGCTGACTTGCCCCAAATGCTGGAGTTAGAAAAGTGCCAGGGGATTCCAATTCAATCCCAACAAGGTGGCATGTACCAATGCCATCTCACTAGTCCAAGTGATCAATTTCAGTTCACAACTGATCACACTGATAGGTCTAAGAGTCAAAGGGATCACACAAACAAGATTAGTGTCTGCTAATACTAACTGACAGAATCAAAAAGGGAGAGAATGATCCATCATGGGAAGCGGGATACACAGCAGACTCATAGAATGGCAGATGTTCTGAACAGCACTCTGGCCTCAGAATCAGCCCTTAAGGCATGCGGATATGGCTGAAGAGCCCATGAGAGTATTTTAGGCATGGAAAGCCAAGACACTCTGGAAAAAAAAAAGAAGACCTAAATGAAAGATCTCTGCAAGTGACCCCAGTGGAAAGAACGGGGCCATCAAAGAAGGACGTACCTTTCACTGAAGGGAGGAGAAAACTTCCACTTTGACTATGACCCTGTCGGAATAAGATCGAAGTCGGCAAACTCAAAAGGCTTCCAGAGCCTTGGCAACTCATGACTAGAGCCTAGGGAGATTACTGACACCATAAACAAGAGCATCAAATTGTTAAGTCAACAACAGGAGTCACTGTGTCCTTACTTCTCATGTGGCATCTGTCCTTAATGTGTTGTCCAATGTGAATTAATGCTATAAGTAGTACTCAAACAGTATTTTACACTTGTGTTTCTGTGTGGGTGCAAACTGATGAAATCTTTATTTAATATATACTGAATCAATCTTCTGTATATTAAGATAATTGAAAAGGAATCTTGATGTGAATGGAATGGGAGAGGGAGCGGGAGATGGGAGGGTTGGGAAGTGGTAAGGGAAATTAGTGTGTGGGGGAGCCATTGTAATCCATAAACTGTACTTGGAAATTTATATTTACTAAAATAAAAAAATGAAAAAGAAAAAAGAAAAAAAGAAAGGAAATCTAAATGTCCAACAAACATATGTAGAAATGCTAAGTATCACTACCCCATCAGGGAAATGCAATCGATATTACAATTACCTTGAAGATGTGAGGGAAAAGGCACCCTAATCCACTGCTGGTGGGAATGTAAACTGTATCACCACTGTGGAAGACAGTATGGAGATAAGTCAGAAATCTGAATACAGACGTGAGCATATGAGCCAGCCACTCCAGCTCTGGGAATGCACCCAAGGGGAATGAAATTCAGCATAAAAAAGAGTTCTCTCTGTCCCCACATTTACCACAGCTCAATTACAAGAGCAAAACATATGCCATCAGCCAAAATGCTGATCACCTCAAGACTGAATAAAGACATTCTGGGCTATGGACACCATACATGCGTCTGCAGACTGCATAGCCTGCTATTGTGCATCCTACTGCAATACGCATAGGCCTGTGAACAGCCTCTCTGTCTACACAATGATTGCGTTTCCTTCAATATGTTCCCAGTAGTGGGTACACCCATAGAGTTTTCCATGTTGACAGGACCAATTTCACATGAGAAATTGTATTGCTCTACAGGTATATATTACGAGAATACAGACATCGGATCCATAAACCCAATTTTGCCTTCAAACACTAGAACAGCAAAGTAAATCTGAAGAAACTGGAAGGAGGAAATATGATTCAAACGGAAATAAGTCAACAGCATAGAAATAATCACAAAGACCATTCACTGAGGACCAAAAATACAGTTCTTGAAAACTCAGTGAAACTGACAAAGATGGAAACAGGGGGGAAAAGGAGAACGACTCAAGTGACTTGACAACAGAAATGACAGTCGAGGACATCATACCAACCCTGCCAAAATAATAAACCAAAAATACTAGGGAAAAACCAGGCACGGGATTTGGTCAACCTAGATAGAGTGGATTGATTCTCAGAAAGATTCAAACCACTAACCTGAATACAGTAAACAAGAAACTCGGAATACACTTTAAGTTGAAAGAGACTGTAGTTGCAGGGAAACAGAAACAAACGAAAAAGACAAGAGAAAAGTCCAGTGAGAACTCCACTAAAGATAATTAAAATCCGTGATTACACACACCATCCAAAAGGGGATGAAGAGGAAAAGCCTTCCATTCATTCCATCAGACCAGCATTATCCCAACATCCCAAAAAAGCACACCACAAAGAAAATGGCACACAAATATCCGTCGTGAATGTGTCAACAGGCCTCAACAAAATATGATCAGATGCCATCCAGAAGCACAACCAAGCTTAGCACCTGAGTGCAACTGAGTTTCTCCAGAAATGCAAGGATGCCTACCATACAAAATCAATCTAGCACAGAACAGAACACACATGGGAAAGCCCACAAAGTATCCACAGACACAGAAAACCTATTCCACAAAAACTCCCGTGACTTTTGCGATAACTAAAAAACAAATCATCAAATTAGGAAGGAAGGTACCCTCGGCCTGACAAGGCTCTTTCATTAAAAACCCACAGAGCGCTAATATCACACCCAATGCCAGGAACCCGAAACTGTCCTCCTAGACCAGACCAGACCTTCACGCACTTTCGCTCTCATTCCTCCTGACAATAGTCTCAGAGGTCTAGAGCAGGGAGGCTGGCCCTGGAAAGCAAACAGACAAGAACACAAGGCCATTCCGGGAGGAGACCCAGCCACCTCTGCTCTTGCACAGCTGCACGCACCCTGGGGAACCCTTCCAGACCATCCGCACTGCACGACCGCGACTCCCCCCTGCCTTCAGGACCCAAGAGCAACAGGCAAGCCTGCAGTCAAGACCCCCAGCGGGACACCGCAACAGCCATGCGTCACTCACCTCCGGGGGGGGGGGGGCCGGTCTGCCGGCGGGACAGAGGTCCGCGAAGGCCGTTGCTTCCCGAAGGGGCCAAAGAATAGAAACAACGCCTGGGAAATGGCGCGGAAGCCTCGGACCCGCACCCTCTCCTGATCCTGGCCTGACCCTGGGGCCGCTGGGTCTCCCTCAGGCTCTGTCAGCAGCATCAAGTAGGGCTCCTCTCCCCACCTCTTGCGTGGGCTCCCGGGCAGGAGCAGACGCGGCGCTAACTCCCAGCGAGCAGCGCGGGGCAGTTGAGGCCAGGCGTGTGGGTGCACTTCCGGGTCACAGCGCCAGGCCCAGGCGCAGGCGCACTCCCCACGGGCCGTCACCATGGCACCCCAGGACACATCTGCACACTGCTGCATCCACGCGGTGACCCAGGGACGCAGACGCTGATAGCCCACGTTCTCTGGAGCCCACCCTCATTGTAATGCATAAGCTGTACTTTGGAAATTATATTCATTAAATAAAAGTTAAAAAAAATTTAAAGAATAACAATACTCACTTTTCACTTCCTTCTCAGGTAGGGACCTCTGTCCCTATTGAATAGTAATATGAGAATTGACTGCAAATTCTCTCCCCAACTGTACTCTACATGTTGTATGTTGGCATGGGTGCAAATTGCTGAAGTCTATGATTAGCATAGAATTGGTTTTCTATATATACAGTCATACTAAAAATGATCCATAATGAAGAATGAGATGGGAGAGAGAATGGGAGCTGGGATGGGGGTTGGAGGAATATGGGGAAAGAACCACTATAGTCCTAAAGTTCTATCTATGTAAAAATGTATTCATTAAATTAAAATTAAAAAAAAATGCTCAGGATCACTAGCCATCAGGGAAATGGAAATCAATTCTACAATGGCCTTGAGCATGTGAGGGAAATGGCAACCTAATCCACTGCTGGTGGGAATGTAAACTGGTATCACCACTGTGGAAGACAGTATGGAGATAAGTCAGAAATCTGAATACAGACGTAGCATATGAGCCAGCCACTGCAGCCCTGGGAATGTACCCAAGGGAAATGAAATCAGCATAAAAAAAGAGTTCTCTCTGTCCCCACATTTACCACAGCTCAATTCACAAGAGCAACATATGCCATCAGCCAAATGCTGATCACCTCAAGACTGAATAAAGACATTATGGCTATGGACACCATACATGCGTCTGCAGACTGCAGAGCCTGGCTATTGTGCATCCTACTGCAATAAGCATAGGCCTGTGAAAGCCTCTCTGTCTACACAATGATTCGTTTCCTTCAATATGTTCCCAGTAGTGGGTAACCCATAGAGTTTTCCATGTTGACAGGACCAATTTCACATGAGAAACTGTATTGCTCGTACAGGTATATATAGCAGAATACAGACATCGGATCCATAAACCCAATTTACCTTCAAACACTAGAACAGCAAAGTAAATCTGAAGAAACTGGAAGCAGGAAAATGATTCAAACGGAAATAAAGTCAACGGCATAGAAAATATCACAACAAAATTCAGTGAGACCAAAATACAGTTCTTGAAAACTCAGTGAAACTGACACTACGTTTATACACATGAAACAAGCAAAAAAGAGAACAGACTCAAATAACTTAACAAGAGAAATGACAGAGAGGACATTACTAACAACCTTACTAAAATAATAATCAAAACACTATGGAAAAATGAAGGCACAAGAATTGGTCAATGTAGATACAGTGGATTGATTCTCAGGAAGAAATAACCCCCAAAATGAATGTAGTCAACTAGAAATTGTGAATATACTTTTAAATTGAAATGAGACTCTATTAGCAGGAAACCAAAACCAAACACAAAAATGAATATAATTCCAGGACCACAAGGGCTTCACCAGTGAGAACTCCCAGTTACAGGGTAAGTAAAATCCATGATTCACAATCCTTCCAAAAAGGAGATTAAGAGGGAAAACATCCAATTTTCTTCCATCAGACCAGCATTATCCCAACATCAAAACAAACACATAATAAAGAAAGTGGCATATAAATATCTGTCATGGCCGGCGCCGCGGCTCACTAGGCTAATCCTCCGCCTAGCGGCGCCGGCACACCAGGTTCTAGTCCTGGTCGGGGCGCCGGATTCTGTCCCGGTTACCCCTCTTCCAGGCCAGCTCTCTGCTGTGGCCAGGGAGTGCAGTGGAGGATGGCCCAGGGCTTGGGCCCTGCACCACATGGAGACCAGGAAAAGCACCTGGCTCCTGGCTCCTGCCATCGGATCAGCGCGGTGCACCGGCCGCAGCGCGCCGGCCACGGTGGCCATTGGAGGGTGAACCAACGGCAAAGGAAGACCTTTCTCTCTGTCTCTCTCTCTCTCACTGTCCACTCTGCCTGTCAAAAAAAAAAAAATAAATAAATAAAAATCTGCCATGAATCTGTCATAATCCTGAACAAATTGCCAAATGCGATCCAGAAGCACAACCAAAGCTTAGCTCACAGTGCGCAACTGAGAGTTACTCCAGGAATTCAAGGATGGCTACCATACAAAATCAATATATCCCAGAACAGAATCAACAAGAGAAAAGGCCACACATTATCCCTACAGACACAGAAAAACTATTTCACAAAAACTTCCATTACTTTCTCTGATATTAAAAAAAAAAAATCATCAATTAGGAACGAAGGTACACCTCGGCCTGACAAGGCTCTTTCATGAAAAACCCACAGAGCGCTAACATCACACCCAATGCCAGGAACCCGAAACTGTCCTGACCAGGACACAGACATGCATTTTTGCTCTCGTTCCATCAACAGTCTCAGAAGTCTAGAGCAGGGCAGCTGGGCCCTCAAAAAGCAAACAGAAGGGAACGCATGGCCCATCAGGGAGGAGACCGAGCCACCTCTGCTCTCACACAGCTGCTCGCACACTGTGGACCCTTCCAGACTGTCCACACAGCACAACCGACCGCGACTATACCTGCGCCTTCGGGACACACGAGCAACAGGCACGCCTGCAGCCAAGACCCCCAGCGGGAAACCGCAACAGCCACGCGTCACTCACCTCCAAGGGGGCCTGGTCTGCTGGCGGGACAGCCATTGCTTCCAGAAGGGGCTGAAGAAGAAAAATACCACATTTCTGTTGGCTGCAGACCAGTGCAGGGAGCTGCCCCACCGGGCTGTGCCCTCTACATTCCCTCCTTCTCACCATTAAACAGCCCAGCGAGGCAGGCTGGGAAAATTGTAGGACACCTGGTGCCACTTAGTATAGCCACTAATGCCATCAGGTGACCTTGACAGACAACAAATTACAAGGACTTCTTGGCTCCACGTGGGGGGGCCTCTGCATCCAGGCAGAGCCTTGTAGCAAGAGCGCTTTGGGAACACATGTGCAATGCACACAGAGGAACACGGGAGGGTATGGTAGGAATGAATGATAAGGGCCTCTGGCTTCTTGCTTCCATGAGTCATGTGGCCCTGTGGTGACAGATAAAGAAAGACGGCTGTGGTTCCCTGGCAGTAAGTATCTCAGCAAGGGGACCACCTGTGTTCAAGGCCAGTATCCTCCCTCCAGACCCTCCCCTTGCCCACCACCTTAACACAAGTCAAGCTGCATGGCTGGAAGAAATCCAAGCAAAGACGTGAGCCAACACTCTGGCCTGTCTGTCCTGGTGGACACTCAGTCAGGGAAGAGTTATCCTTTCCCTAAATCCTGCCCTTCATAGCTCAAGCTGCAGATCCTCTCTGTTAAAGTCTGTCCCCCTAGAGTCAACCAAACCACACTCAGACCTGACCAGAGTAGCTACAGATCCCAGGGGGGCTCATGCTCAGGGCAGCTGAGGACATGAAGACCACCACACAGACCACAGATCCCGCCAAAGGTGGGCTGCAAGTCTGAACCACAGGCGGTGTGAGCAGTGCGATGACAGTGCAAGCCACTGCTCAGAGGGAACCAATTCAAGACCCAGCCCTGGCATAGCCACCAGATGCCAGTGACACAGCTGTCATAACAGCTCATCTTCTCTCCTAGGCCAAGCAAGGATGCACCCCAGAGCTTCTCGCCCCTGCCACAGCAGAAGCCCTGCTCTTCCTGGTGTGAAACAGCATGCAGGGACTGCACTGGTCTGCAGCCAACAGAAATGTGGTATGCATCACTCCTCTCCTGGATGCCATTCCCAGCCTTGGGACCACGGTTCAACTGTGGCCAGACACACGGTGGTAGTGGCAACAGGGAGCACACACTTTATCGGCACCTGTCACTGCATGGGCTGCCCTATCCTCCTCTGGCCAGGCAACTGCTTGGGAGCTGGAGCCGAGGGACTGCAGCAGGAGTGACAGCTGCTCTGAATAGGCCTTGTCATTCTCTCCCTAGCATGTCACCCACTAAGAATATTTTTACTGTTAGGCCTCAGCTAAGGGATATTATCAGAACAAGTAAGTGAAGGCATAGAAAGACAGTTGACAAGAAGGCCCTTTTACTGAAGTAATTACAGACAACTTGTTTAATTTGAGGAAAGGAACGGTGGAGCACAGGAAGCACATGGAAGTCCTAATACACACGACCTGAAAGATCTTCACTGTGACCCACCGCAGTCAAATTCTTCACACTCCAACATGAAGACAAGATTCTAAAATCATACAAGAGAAACACCAGACCCTTTTTAGAAGATCTCTGATTAGAATCACATCTGACTTCTCATCAGACACCCTATACGGGCTAGGAGAAAGTGGGGAGATGTATGCCAAGTCTTAAAAAAAAAAGAGCTGTTAACCAAAAATAAAGTACTTTGCAAATCTCTCACTTATGAAACAAGATAAAATAAAAAATTAGAGCCTGGTGAGGACATATCGTCTGGCCTCTTGACACACACTTATTCTGCTCCACAATAAACTTTCCACTTCAGCTTCCTGTGACTTTCTGAAATATCCACCTGTATCTACTCAAGACATTGAATCCAGTTATAAATCCTCCAACAACGAAAATGATAAGCCCTCATATCCAATACCACTTCACTAGGCCATAAAGCAAGTCTCAGCAAATTCAAAAGAATTAGAATCATACCATGAGCTTCTCAGACCACAGTGGAATGAAGGTGGAAATTAGCAACTCAGGAATCCCTGGAGCATATGCAAACACATGGAGATTGAACAACATGTTCCTGAATGAACACTGGGTCATTCAAGAAATCAAAAGAGAAATCAAAAACTCTCTGGAAGTAAATGAGGATAAAGACACAACATATCAAAAATTATAGAATATGTCAAAAGCAGTGTTGAGAGCAAAGTTTATAGCAATAGGTGCCTACATCAAGAAATTGGAAAGGCACCAAATAAATGAGCTTTCGATTCATCTCAAGGATCTAGAAAAACTGCAGAAAACGAGACCCAAATCTAGTAGGAGAAGAGAAATAATTAAAATCAGAGAAGAAATCAATAGGATTGACTCCAAAAAATTTACAAAAAAATCAGCCAAACGAGGAGCTGGTTTCAGAAAAAATAAACAAAATTGTCACCCCATTGGCACAACTAACTAAAAAAAGAAAAGACTCAAATCAATAAAATCAGAGATGAAAAAGGAAAAATAACAACAGACACCACAGAAATAAAAAGAATCATCAGAAAGTACTACAAGGACGTGTATGCCAGCAAACAGGGAAATCTACCAGAAATAAACAGTAATAAAGGTCCTCCCAACAAAGAAAAGCCCAGGACCAGATGGATTCACTGCTGAATTCTACCAGACATTTAAAGAACTAACTCTAATTCTTCTCAAACTATTCAGAACAATCGAAAAAGGGGGAATCCTCCCAAATTCTTTCTATGAATCCAGCATCACCTTAATTCCTAAGCCGGAAAAAGATGCAGCATTGAAAGAAAATTACAGACCAATATCCCTGATGAACATAGATGCAAAAATCCTCAATAAAATTCTCGCCAATAGAATGCAACAACACATCAGAAAGATCATCCACCCAGACCAAGTGGGATTTATCCCTGGTATGCAGGGATGGTTCAATGTGTGCAAATCAATCAATGTGATACACCACATTAACAGACTGCAGAAGAAAATCCATATTGTTATCTCAATAGACGCCGAGAAAGCATTTGATAAAACACGACACCCATTCATGATGAAAACCCTAAGCAAACTGTGTATAGAAGAAACATTCCTCAATACAATCAAAGCAATTTATGAAAAACCCACGGCCAGCATCCTATTGAATGGGGAAAGTTGGAAGTATTTCCACTGAGATCTGGTACCAGACAGGGATGCCCACTCTCACCACTGCTATTCAACATAGTTCCTGAGGTTTTAGCCAGAGCTGTTAGGGAAGAAAAAGAAATTAAAGGGATACAAATTGGGAAGGAAGAACTCAAATTATCCCTCTTTGCAGATGATATGATTCTTCATTTAGGGGACCCAAAGAACTCTACTAAGAGACTATTGGGACTCATAGAAGAGTTTGGCAAAGTAGCAGGGTATAAAATCAATGCACAAAAATCAACAGCCTTTGTATACACAAGCAATGCCACGGCTGAGAAAGAACTGCTAAGATCAATCCCATTCACAATAGCTACAAAAACAATCAAATACCTTGGAATAAACTTAACCAAGGATGTTAAAGATCTCTATGATGAGAATTACAAAACCTTAAAGAAAGAAATAGAAGAGGATACCAAGAAATGGAAAAATCTTCCATGCTCATGGATTGGAAGAATCAATATCATCAAAATGTCCATTCTCCCAAAAGCAATTTATAAATTCAATGCAATACCAATCAAGATACCGAAGACCTTCTTCTCAGATCTGGAAAAATTGGTGCTGAAATTTATATGGAGGCACAAGAGACCTCGAATAGCTAAAGCAATCTTGTACAACAAAAACAAAGCCGGAGGCATCACAATACCAGATTTCAGGACATACTACAGGGCAGTTGTAATCAAAACAGCATGGTACTGGTACAGAAACAGATGGATAGACCAATGGAACAGAATTGAAACACCAGAAATCAACCCAAACATCTACAGCCAACTTATATTTGATCAAGGATCTAAAACCAATTCCTGGAGCAAGGACAGTCTATTCAATAAATGGTGCTGGGAAAACGGATTTCCACGTGCAGAAGCATGAAGCGAGACCCCTACCTTACACCTTACACAAAAATCCACTCAACATGGATTAAAGACCTAAATCTACGACCTGACACCATCAGTTACTAGAGAACATTGGAGAAACCCTTCAAGATATTGGCACAGGCAAAGAGTTTCTGGAAAAGACCCGGGAGGCACAGGCAGTCAAAGCCAAAATCAACTATTGGGATTGCATCAAATTGAGAAGTTTCTGTACTGCAAGGCAAACAGTCAGGAAAGTGAAGAGGCAACCGACAGAATGGGAAAAAATATTTGCAAACTAAGCAACTGATGAAGGGTTAATAACCAGAATCTACAAAGAGATCAAGAAACTCCAAACAACAAAACAAACAACCCACTTAAGAGATGGGCCAAGGACCTCAATAGATATTTTTCAAAAGAGGAAATCCAAATGGCCATCAGGCACATGAAAAAATGTTCACGATCACTAGCAATCAGGGAAATGCAAATCAAAACCACAATGAGGTTTCACCTCACCTTGGTGAGAATGGCTTACTTTCAGAGATCTACCAACAACAGATGCTGGCGAGGATGTGGGGAAAAAGGGACACTAACCCACTGTTGGTGGGAATGCAAACTGGTCAAGCCACTATGGAAGTCAGTCTGGAGATTTCTCAGAAACCTGAATAGAACCCTACCATACAACCCAGCCATCCCACTCCTTGGAATTTACCCAAAGGAAATTAAATTGGCAAACAAAAAGGCTGTCTGCACCTTAATGTTTATTGCAGCTCAATTCACAATAGCTAAGACCTGGAATCAACCTAAATGCCCATCAACAGTAGACTGGATAAAGAAATTATGGGACATGCACTCTATAGAACACTATACAGCAGTCAAAAACAACAAAATCCGGTCATTTGCAACAAAATGGTGGAATGTAGAACACATCATGCTCAGTGAATCAAGCAAGTCCTAAAGGGAGAAATATCATATGTTCTCCCTGATTGGTGACAACTAACCGAGCACCAAAAAGGAAACCTGGTGAAGTGAAATGGAAACTACGAGAAACAGTGATTGATCAGCCCTTGTCCGGACTGTTGATGTACAATTTCATACTTTACCCCTCTTAGCATTTTTTGTTCTACTTAATACTATTGGTTGAACTCTGTAATTAACACACAATTATTCTTAGGGGTTTAAAGTTAACTGAAAAGTGATCCCTGTTAAATATAGGAGTGGGAATAAGAGAGGGAGGGGATGTACAATTTGGGACATGCTCAAGCTGACTTGCCCCAAATGCTGGAGTTAGAAATGTGCCAGGGCATTCTAACACAATCCCATCAAGTTGGCATGTACCAATGCCATCTAACTAGTCCAAGTGAACAATTTCAGGTCACAATAGATCATAATGATAAGTCTAAGAGTCAAAGGGATCACACAAACAAGACTAGTGTCTGATAATACTAACTGATAGAATAAAATCGGGAGAGAACGATCCAACATGGGAAGCGGGATACACAGCAGACTCATAGAATGGCAGATGTCCTAAACAGCACTCTGGCCTCTGAATTAGCCCTTAAGGCATTTGGATCTGGCTGAAGAGCCCATGAGAGTATTTTAGGCATGGAAAGCCAAGACACTCAGGCTAAAAAAAAAAAAAAAGGAAAAAGAAAAAGAAAAAAAAACAAAATAAAGGAAAGATCTCTGTGAGTGAGATCCCAGTAGAAAGAACCGGCCATCAAAGAAGGAGGTCCCTTTCTCTGAAGAGAGGACAGAACTTGCACTTTGACTATGACCTTGTCGAAATAAGATTGAAGTCAGCGAACTCAAAAGGCTTCCATAGCCTTGGCAACTCATGACTAGAGCCTAGGGAGATTACTGACACCTTAAACAAGAGTGTCAATTTGTTAAGTCAACAACAGGAGTCACTGTGCACTTACTCCTCATGTAGAATCTCTGTCCTTAATGTGTTGTTCAATGTGAATTAATGCTATAAGTAGTACTCAAACAGTATTTTACACTTTATGTTCTGTGTGGGTGAAACTGATGAAATCCTTACTTAATATATACTAAGTTGATCTTCTGTATATAAAGATAATTGAAAGTGAATCTTCATGTGAATGGAATGGGAGAGGGAGCAGGAGATGGGAGGGTTGTGGGTGGGAGGGAAGTTATGGGGGAAAGCCATTGTAATCCATAAACTGTACCTTGGAAATTTATATTTACTAAATAAAAGTTTAAAAAAAATCAATTGTATAGTACCATCATCAACAGGTAGACACTGATTTGAAATTTAAAATAGCCTACTGAAACGAAAACTCTATCAATAAAATACACAGCATGTTGGCTGAAGATTAAAATGCTGATGAAGGAAACTAAAGAAGATCTAAGTAAATACGCTGTGCATTGGACTGGAAGACTGAATATTATTAATATAACATTTCTTCTAAAATGGTTCTAGGTTCAACACCATCTAAATGAAAAAACAAAACAAAACAAAAAACAAACAACCAAAAAAACCTCCAGCAAGAGGTTTTTGAGAAAAAACAAAAACAAACATGAATGTAGTTAGGAAAACTCAAGACAATTGACTATCAACTTCACCATGAAAAACAAGGAACTGGGTGAAATGACAACTGTCTTTGCAGACTTTCAATAAACCTACAATAACCAAGACCTTGCTTTGGGATTCCTGAAACAACAGAAGAAACACATTTCAACAGAGTAGGATAGTGAATCCAAAAGTAAACCTCATCCCAAAATACATAAGCGACCATTGTTAAAACTACAAAGAGAAATAAACAAAGGCACTATTACACTCACAGACGTCAAGACATCTCTTTCGTTACCAGATCAGCAGTCAGACCATCAGTAAGGATGTAGCTGAACAGAACAGCACCTGAATCAACCAAGTGTTGAACGGATCCTTCGAGGATGCTCTGTCCACAGCACCGCAACACAACACTCTTCTCAGACCCACATGGCACATCCACTCTGTGGAGCTGCTGGGACTCGAACCAACGCCCATGTGGGATGCTAGTACATGCAGGGGTGGCTTCATCCACTATGCCACGGCTGCTCCCACCCCACCCCCCACCCCCCATCAACCCAGGCTATTCCAACTTGAGATCCAGCTGCCTGCTCAAATGCCTAGGAAAGCAGAGGAAGCACCCCAAGGACTTGGGCCACCTTAACTCGCACTGCAGTACTGGATAAAGTACCTGGCCTGTGCTCCCGCCTGGCCCAGCGCCGGCCATTGTAGCCACCTGGGGTGTGAATCCATACCCTGAAGATCTCTCCTGCACCGCCTCATCTAGAACTCTGCCTTGCAAACCAATTATTCCATAGGAAAAAAAAAATACTTAGTACTTACTGTGAGGTGTCAGAATTTTGGACAGGCTGGAACAGAGCACAGAGGGATTCTTGGCGTTTCTCTAAGCTTCTGCTTTCTCCTCCATGTGTGCAGTCTGAAAATTCACCGGATTACATTCCAATTAATTCAAGCACCCCGTGCCCCCGTGTTCCTGCACACACAACCTTACACTGCTGAACAACCTGGAGCAGAGAGGCCGTGAGTCAAGGCCTCTTCTACGGACGCCAAGGCTACATCTGGCCAGGCACAGAAAACCCCCCAAACTGACCCAGCTCCCAACCCCCCTCCCACACAACCCCCAGGGCTCCCGTCACTCTCTCCCTCCTTTCCTCTCCCCCACACGCCTTTCTCCCCCTCCCTTCCTCGCCTCCCCACCTTCATTCTCTCCACTTCCTCTCTTCTCCCGCCTCTCCTTTGTCCTCCCTCTCCTCCACCTTCTACCCAGTGACACCCCACACACACCCCCTCCCCGCACTCTGCACCTCGAGCCACGCCTACCCGTGACGGGAAGTCCACCGTGCCGAATCCCCTCACAAAGAGCATTTCTGTTCCTCAGGAACAGGAACCGAGTCCTGAGGTGTAGTCTTCGGGAAGGGGCCGAAGCAGAGGACCGCGCCTGGAAGTTTCCAGAAGCCCAAGGAACTGATGCGGCCGCCTCGGGTCGCAGCCTCACCTGATCCTGGCCTGAGCCTGGGAGGCCCTGGACTCCTCAGGTTTGGCCACCAGCGTCAAAGACGGCTCCTCAAGGCTCGCTCAAGCCGTGGGCAGGAGTGGGCACGGCCCTGACTCGCACCCATGCACTGAGGGCAGAAGCGGCCACGCCTGTGGGTGCACTTCCGGGTCAAAGCACCGGGCGCAGGCGCACTCCTCACTGGCCATCGCCATGGCGCCACGGGACGCATCTGTGCACTGCCGCATCCAGCGCCCGAAACCACAGGCCCGCCTCAGTCAGCTGCTCTTGCTCCAGGTTGTGATCCAGGGAGGCAGCCGCTGAGGCCTGGGTACTCTGGACCCTGGCTCGCTGCCTCCTGCCTCCCTGCCTCCCTGCCTCCCTGCCTCCCTCCCTCCCTCGTGGGAGTCCTGAATGGAGCTCCTGCCTCCTGACTTCTGCCTGATCCAGTGCTGGCCGTCAAAGCCGTTTGGGGAGAGAAGCAGTACAGGGGGCATCGCCAGCACTCTTTCTCTCTCTCTCAGTGATCGTCCATCTGCGGGTTCACCCCTCAGGTGGCTACAAAGGCCAGGGCTGGGACAGGCCAAAGAAGAAGCCAAGGACTTTTTTCTGGTGCTCCATTCTGGGTTCAGGGGCTTAAGTCCTTGGGCCGTCTCCCTCTGCTTTCCCAGGCATGTTAGCAGACAGCTGGATCCCAGGGGGAACAGCTTCTGGGAGGGGCCGGCGCTGGGGGATAGCGGGTCAAGCCACTGCCTGCAGTGCCAGCATCCCATATGACGCCGGTTCGAGTCCCAGCTGGTCCACTTCTGATGCAGTTCTCTGCTATGGTCTGGGAAGGCAGTCGAAGATGGCCCAAGTCCTGGGGACCTGTCCCCATGCAGGAGACCCCAGGGAGGCTCCTTGCTCCTAGCTCCTCACCCTGAATCCTCTCAGCGCCAGCCATTGCAGCCAACTGTGGAGTGGACCAGCAGATGGATAACCTCTCCCTCTCTCTCTCTCTGCCATTCTGCCTCTGCCTCTCATCCTCTCTGTGTGTAACTCTGAATTTCAAATAATAAATAAGACTTTTTTAAAAAGTAAAACCTAGCTCATTGTAAAGAAAATACTACATCAAGGCCAACTACTTGAGTTTATCTAGAATTTGATACTATATGCATTACATACCCCATTAACACAGAATTTGAAAAAGAATTTAACTCAGTCTTAGAAAAGATTCTGGTACCCATTCATTCTCTTCTTCCTTACAAACATTCTGTGTGGCATTATCTCTGACTTGCACATGAGGAAATCTTTGTAATTTATTTATTCAGACTATGTACCCATTCACACAAGGGGTAGAAATACCTGTGATCTCCAGAGTTCTTCACCGAACACAGGTCTGCTTCCCCATCTCTGCCCTCCACATTCTAGCCCTGCCTTTGAAATAGGACAAATCGTGTCTTCCACAAAGCAAAACAGAATACAGAAAGGTATCCTCTGAGGTCACTGTTGACATTTTCTATTCTCCTGTATATAGGAGATCCAAAAGACTCCACTAAAAGAATATCAAAACTCAGAGTAGAGTTTGGTACAGTGGCAGGATAGAAAATCAACAGCTTTTGTATACACAGACAAGGTCATGATTGAGAAAGGATTTCGAAGACCAATCCCATTCACATATCTACAAAGAAAATAAAATAGGTTGGAATAAATTTAACCAAGGATGTCCAATATCTGAGAACTATAAAAGATTAATGAAGAGGACACCAAAAAAAAAAAAAACACTCCACAAAGTGAAGCAGCAACTAACAGAATGGTAGAACTTAATCTGCAATGTATGCAGCTGATAAAGGGTTTACTACCAGATATTTTCAAGAAACTCAACAACAGCAAAACAAACCACCCACTCAAGAAATGGGTAAATGGCTTCAATAGGCATATTTCAATCAACCAAAATGCTGATCAATTGAAAAGTGAATTAAGAAGTTCTGGTCTATGTATACCATACATACATATACACACTGCATAGCCTGGCTATTGTGCATCTTGCTGCAATAAGCATAGGCTTGTGCATCCCTCTGTTACATAATGATTTAATTTCCTTCAGTATGTTCCCAGCAGTGGGTACATCCTTAGAGTTTTCCATGTTGACAGGCCTAATTTCACATGAGGAATTTTATTGCTATACAGGTATATATTAAGGAATACAGATATCAGATCAGAAAACCAAATTTTACCTTAAAACACTAGAACAGCAAAGTAAATCTTAAGATGACCATTAGTGTGAACCAGGACACAGGACCTATATTAACAAATCACAGCATGAGGCCACAGAGTTAGTATGAAGTGTCCTTAGTGACACAGGACAAGTCCTTGTGGTGATGCACCCAACAAAGGTAAGCCCAAAGAAAAGGACCACCAGTTTTCACCAGCTACCACCTCTCTCATACCCCATGTCTCTACCTGCTAGAACCTAGGGTTCCAACCCCAGGAGGAACATGGCTCTGGGGCAAACAGAGCAGGTTTTGAACTGGGGCTTTATTGTTCTTGATATATGGCCTAGTGCAGGTTCCCACCTCATACAGTTTCATATTTAAAAGGGGATCAGCAGTGCCTTCCTCACAGAGCTTTGAAGAGGATTAGACAGTACAATGTGGTGTAATTAAATAAAACTCTTGCTTTCCCTCTTTGTGTTCTTATTTAGAAATGAAACATGGTACATTAAGAAGCCTGACTATTGAAAGGGCTAAAAGGAAACCTGTTGAAGTGAAACCGACACTATGCAAAACAATGACCCGATCAGCCCTTGCCTGACTGTCAAGGAACAACTTACTATTTTATTATTTTTGTATTTTTTGGTCCTACTTAATATCATTGGTTGAACTCTTTAATTAACACACAATTATTCTTAGGCATTTAAAATTAACTCAAAAATGATCCCTGTTAAATATGAGAGTGGAAATAAGAGAAGGAGGAGATGTACAGTTCGGCACCTGCTCACTCAGACTTACCCCTAATGGTAGAGCTATAAACGTGCTAGGGGATTCCAATTCAATCCCATCAAGGTGTCATGAACCAATGCCATCTCACTAGTCAAAGTGATCAGTTTCAATTCATAATTGATCATAATCATAGGATTAAATGTCAAAGGGATCACATAAATAAGACTAGTGTCTGCTAACAATAACTGATAGACTTAAAAAGGAGGAGAATGCTCCAACATGGGAAGCAGAATACACAGCAGACTCATAGAATGACAAATACCCTAAACAGCACTTTGGCCTCAGAATCAGTACTTAAGGCATTCGGATCTGGCTAAAAAGCCCATGAGAGTGATTTAGGCATGGAAAGCCAAGACATTCTGGAAAAAAAAAAGAGGAACTAAATAAAAGATCTCTGTGAATGAGATCCCAGCAGAATGAACAGGCCATCAAAGAAGGACGTACCTTTCTCTGAAGGGAGGAGAGAACTTCCACTTTGACTGTGGCTTTGTCTAAATAAGATCGGATCCGGTGAACTCAAGAGGCTTCCATAGCCTTGGCAGCTCAAGACAAGTGCCTCACATGATTAATGACATCATAAATAAGAGTGTCAATTGTTAAATCAACAACGGGAGTTACTGTGCACCTACTTCCCATGTAGGATCTCTCTGTCCTTAATGTGTTGTACCATGTGAATTAACGGTAAAACTACTACTCAAACAATACTCTACACTTTGTGTGTCTGTGTGGGTGCAGTCTGTTGAAATCTTTACTTAGTATATACTGAGTTGATATTCCGTATATAAATATAATTGAAAATGAATCTTGATGAAGAATGGGATGGGAGAGGGACTGGGAGATGGGACGGTTGCGGGTGGGAGGGAGGTTACAGAGGGAAGAACTGCAATAATCCAAAAGTTGTACTTTGGAAATTTATATTTATTTATTTTTTATAGACTTTATTTACTTATTTGAGAGGTAGAGTTACAGACAGTGAGAGAGAGAAACAGAGAGAAAGAACTTCCTTCCATTGGTTCGCCCCCCCCCAAATGACCACTACAGCTGGTGCACTGCACCAGTCTGAAGCCAGGTGCCAGGTGCTTCCTCCTGGTCTCCCACGCGGGTGCAGGCGCCCAAGCACCTGGGCCATCCTCCACTGCACTCCTGGGCCCAGCAGAGAGCCAGACTGGAAGAGGAGCAGCCAGGAATAGAACCCGGTGCCCATATGAGATGCTGGCACCGCAGGCGGAGGATTAGCCAAGTGAGCCACAGCACCAGCCCCCGAAAATTTATAATTATTAAATAAAAGTTGGAAAAAAAGAAAGGGTTTCATGAATGCCACTCTGTTACAATCTCCTTTCTTGTCCATCTTACCTTTGTTCTTGTGACCAGACCCTTCATTAACCATCACTTCCTGTCCCAGGGCCCACCAGTGAGTGTGTTGTTAGTTCTGCATATCTGAACACCAGCTGTGTACCAGGGACTACAGGAATGAAAGCAGAGAGACAAAGTCTTGTCCTGGACAAGCTCACAGTCTTATACAAGATATGGGTATTTAGCAAAAAAATGGTGATAAAATGGGTTAAGTACGTTATGTATATAGGTAGTGTGTTACAGAAGCTCTGGATACGATAGCTCTGCCTGGGGGAATGAGAGAAAAGTATCAAAGAGAAGGAAGTCCCTTGAGTTGGATATCTTGAAACATGGCTAGGAGTTTCTCAAGCTGAAAACATTGAGGAACATCAAGTAGTGACTGCCTATATGCAGAACCATGACAAGTCTGGCATGACAGAAGCAGGGGCTGTTTGGGAGGAGGGCGGCTTGGAATAGGAAGTTGTGAACAGACCTGAGAATGAGGCCTTGGAATCCCCTCTAAGGGATTAGGGCTTTGGCAAGTATGCAAGAGATGAGAAAAGATCAGACAGAGTCACCTGTGCTTTCTAGGAAAATGCAGGTGGTATGCAGGCCTAAAGCAGAAAAAGCCTGGAAGAAAGAATCCAGACAGAAGTAATAGTTATCAGCAGATGTTCAGCTTTGGTCTGAGTGCTTGTGTAGGTCCTGAGACACCACTGGTATTGATTTGGTGACTACTAGGAGACAGATGGTTGGAAATAGGGTGCTGCCAAACTTTCCAACTTGGAAGGCAACTCAGATGGAGCCACCACTGCAGAGATCCAGTGCAATGTGTGGAGCAGGTTTAAAGGGAAGAGGAGGCCGGCGCCATGGCTCACTAGGCTAATCCTTCACCTTGTGGGGCCGGCACAACGGGTTCCAGTCCCGGTCGGGGCGCCGGATTCTGTCCCGGTTGCCCCTCTTCCAAGCCAGCTCTCTGCTGTGGCCTGGGAGTGCAGTGGAGGATGGCCCAACTACTTGGGCCCTGCACCCCATGGGAGACCAGGATAAGTACCTGGCTCCTGCAATTGGATCAGCGCGGTGTGCCGGCCGCAGCGCGCCAGCTGCAGCGCGCCAGCCGCGGCGGCCATTGGAGGGTGAACCAACAGCCAAAGGAAGACCTTTCTCTCTGTCTCTCTCTCTCACTATTCACTCTGCCTGTCAAAAATAAAAAAAAATTAGCCGGCGCCACGGCTCACTAGGCTAATCCTCCGCCTAGAGGAGCTGGCACACCGGGTTCTAGTCCCGGTCTGGGCGCTGGATTCTGTCCCGGTTGCCCCTCTTCTAGGCCAGCTCTCTGCTGTGGCCAGGGAGTGCAGTGGAGGATGGCCCAGGTGCTTGGGCCCTGCACCACATGGGAGACCAGGAAAAGCACCTGGCTCCTGGCTCTTGCCATCGGATCAGCGCGGTGCGCCGGCCGCAGCGCGCCGGCCGCGGCGGCCATTGGAGGGTGAACCAATGGCAAAGGAAGACCTTTCTCTCTGTCTCTCTCTCTCACTGTCCACTCTGCCTGTCAAAAAATAAAATAAAATAAAAAATAAAAAAATTAAAAAAATTAAAAAATAAAAAATAAAAAAAAAGGGAAGAGGAAGTTTGTGGTACCCACAAGACACTCAAGTGTGTGTCTCTAACAGGCAGGTGGCAATGGAGATTTGGATCTCATGGTGAAGGCTGATGATGGAGACACTACTTTGGAAGGTAGTCTCATAGAAACATTGGTTGAAGCCACAACAGTAA